AATAAACTTTACATGGATCCAAGGAAGAAGCACCTCTGGAAAGACCAGGAATCCAATTAGTAAAGCATTACCTTCCATAGCTGTAGATTCCTTCTGTACTAATGTTAGTATAAGATCCCCTGTTCTCTCTTTGCTTCCTCTTGCCACCTCCAAAAACCCCCACCACATTTCTAAAGTGGAAGTTGAATTTGACAGTCTGCTTTTAGGCGTTAAGAGGAGGAGCAGAGCTATAAGGAGGAGTGGAGTCAGCCTCTGCAATGATCCTGTGCGTACGGATCACTCCATGTGATGATCCTTTGTAGGAGTAATTTCAGTGACAGCAGGATGTTAGATCATGTCAATAGCCCTGCTGTGAGTCAGCTCTGCTCATTTATCACCATTCGCTTTTTTTTTTTCCTCCTCCTTGCTGCTGTTGAATATTGGAAGCACTTCAGAATAAGACATTATTGGACTGTTTCTGTCTGTTGGCCTGTGCTGGAGGCTGTGCTGAAACCACAGATACGCGGTCTGCAGAGACCATGCTCATGTGATGTTTCTGTGACCTGTGGTGAGTTGGGTACAGGTTGAATGTGACACCTTTCCCACTATGTTGGAGCGGAGAAATGTCCTTTATCTGTCATATTTGTTCCTGCAGCCTGGAGAAAAAGGCCAAGGGCTGAATAGAAAAGGGTGTCTTTGCCCAAAGACAGCTTCTTTCCTTTATAACTGTATGGTGGCACAGCAGTGTCTTGTGCCTGTTTCTGCTGTATTTTTGCTGTGGAGATAGAAAGTTGTAGCTGCTTGGCACTATCATTTGGTATGTTTTCACTACAACATTAAAAAAAAACCCTCTCAAAAGAAGCCCAACCCTACATGTTTTTGCTTTCCCACTTTCAGTAAATCTGTAAGCATAGTGTCTTTCTTACTGATTTCAGTGTCCTTTAACAGGACATTTCAGTGGCTTTTGTGCAGGCATGAGTATTCAGGACCCCCTTTGTTTTCAGTGGAGATCACCCCTTTGTGATTAATGCTTAATTGTTATGGTTTTTTAATCTACAGGCTGTAGTGAGCTTGGTGCAGGAGACCAGCAGCTATTCAGTGTTAGGAAATGGCTCTGAAAATATAAATCACTACTACTTTCTTGGCATATACTAGACACAGTCCAGGATATGTTTGCATTAGCAGTTGCCATATTGCATTAGGATCTGTGGTGATTAGATTTTCAGTAATAGGAACATGGAAAATGTATTATATAGTTATGTAATTAAACATACTGTCAGAGTGAGAGTGAAAGGATGTGGTGAGGGAGAAACAGGGCATAAGACAGGCCTTGCTTTGAAAGGATCAAACATGAAGAAAGGTCATCTTAGAGATGGCAGGAAGCTTAAGCAGAGTTTAAGGGTGTTGATTCAGGAAACAGACAGACAGAGCAGTGGAACTCATGTGAGCACAAAACTGGACATGTTAGAGAAGAGGGAATGATCGACTTGCTTTGCAAAGCACCAGCCAATACTTTGAGCTGACTAAGGGCAGAGAGGTGCCCTAGGAGTTGGTGTTGGAATAACTGAGACTCGGAGTTACTGAGCTGCAGAAGACAAGAGAAGCTGGAAAAAGCATATTTGGCCTTGCGAAGGAATGACAACAGAGAAGTGACTCTGAGTAGTGGAGATCTGGTCCTGATTTAGCAGTTTCAGTGAAGCTCTATTTACCAAGAAGGACTGGTAAAAGATCCACTGCTAAATTTTTGGCCCCATTGTACTGTGTATATGACTGCTTGCTGTTGTCAGCAGTTTCCCCTTTTCCCTGCTTTCAGTTCTTTCTTTCCTTTCCCTAACAACTATGAAAAGCTTCTTGAAGTTAATGTAAAGACTTCCGTTGATTTTTAGTGGACTAGGGATAAGCCTCCTCTTATGTCATGGCTGAATGCTGATTTCTGAGCTGTTCTGGTTCCAGGCAGCATCTATAATTGCATGCTATTATTTGAAAAATAACGATTTTAATTACTTTCCAGAAAGGATGATACCCAAAATAATCTATATCGTTTTACTACTTTTAATTGGGAAACTTTTCCACACTGTAATGTGTCTGAGTAGGCACATTTCATTATGTTCTTCATGTTATTTTAAAGTCACTCAGAGAGCCAGTACTTGGTCATTGGACAATTTTCCTTGTTCTTTAGCCATAGAGATTTGTTTTAAAATAATACTTGCCTTTTTTTTCACAGTTGATGTGACTGATTCAGATTGGATTATTTCATTTGACCCAAAGTGGGGCTGTGGTTCGAAGATCCAACAAATCTGTGGGCAGCCCTTTTTTTCTTCAATAGCAGACTAATTGGCAGACCAATTAATCTGCTCATCTGTGAAGAGAAAATTTATAGCAATAAGTAGTTCTATTTCCAGAAGTCATTCTCTAAAGTAACATTAGAGTGGCCTTGTTTACTTCATGCCCTGCAACACGATCCAGTGCTTCAACAGTAGCACAGGTCAATTAGTGGACAAATTAAGCAATTATTAGCCACTAACAAGGGTGACTGGCATCATTACCCTTCCTGTTTACCAGCAAACTGTTATTTTAATGCAAAGATCAACAAATAAATTAGGGCATCTGTTGTATTGCCATATCTGCCTTGAAGTAAATGATATTAAATGGGCTTTGGTTGCTGCCAAATTCTTAACCCTGGCCTAATGAGATACACTGATATGTCTCTTGCTGATTATAGAAGCTGTAAAATTTAGTTTGTATTGATTTATTAACAGGACGACCAAGTTCCCTGGTATGGTATTTTTTAATAGTCTGATATCCGTCTTTTTATTTTAAATGTTATTGATCCAGAGACCATTGAGTTCCTCTGAAAGACAAAGCTGTATACTAATTATATTGATTATTTTGATGGTTACAATAATTTTGTGGTGAGGCATTGTGTGCTTGGATGTGCATTTTCATTTGATGCTTCTCTTGTGCTCCTTAGAACTGCTTTTACTTCCAGGTTAGACAGTTATTTTAACTCTTGCTTCATATATTTATTGTGGAGTAAGACTCGCTCAGTCTTAAGTAACTGTCTCCTAAGTAAGAAAATTAAGTAAATCTCTTAAGACTGGGGGAACTTGACTGCGGTACCTTCTAATAGATCATGGTACATCGGGAGATGCTGGCTGTTTTACCATTAACTTAATGGGTGCCCAAGGTCAGTCTCTTCATTTTAGTCCGGTGCAACAGTGAATTGTGCAGGGCAGACACTCACCCATTACACGTTTATTACCTGCCTTTCACATTATGGCAGGTTCTTCGTTGGGGAATAATCATTTCCCGTGTGAAACTGGAAACTGCAGGTTCTAGCTGGTGAGATGTCTTTGCCAAGCTCTGTGAGTGAGGCTGTCTGTATCAATAACAGGAGCAAAACGAGCAGGACCTTTACGAGACTCTTTGTCGGCACTGTCGCTGTGAGAGCACAACTCTGACGCGCTGGGCTCTTCTGTTGCCTCCTGAATGGAAAGCAGCTGAGTTACCCCCGAGGTGCCAGTGATCTTCCCTGCTGCAGGTACTTGCTCTGGGCACCACTAGGTCTCCTGGCAAGCCTCTTCCGTCAAGGTCTGTGGTGACGCCATGATCTTATTTTTTCAAATTACCAGAGCACACGATACAGTGTTTATGCCACTTGTATGGTAGCTGCTGGACAGATTGTACTTGGTCTGGGATAAAGCATGTGCTGGACAAAGTTAAATCTTTCACGTCTTCTAGGAAACTTGAATTGCTGTGGTGTTTTGAGTCTTGTTACAAGTTCCTTGAGACGAAAGGCAGCGTACTGCCTCAAGGAGCTATGGCCTTGGTGCAGGATTGTATTCCTTTAAGTGGTTGTGAGCCCTCCAGGTGTGCTTACTGTGGATTATGTTTTAGACACTGCCAGAAAACAGTCAGAGCAGCAGTTTAACATGGCTAAGCCTTTCATGTTTGCATACAGTTAGTAAACCTGGTTATTCGGGATCCAGCTGTGTCCCTGTCATTTCTTCTTGTTCTTGCTGTTGTATAACGAACAAAAGACACAACACCAGCCAAAAAGCAGATCGATGTTCAGCTTCCTTTGTTGTGAGGAGGTAATTGCAGAAACATTTCCCGAGCAATATAATTATGTGTATGCTAATTTGCCTCTGAAATTCAGGTTTAGTCTCTTTTTAAATGGAAGACCTATTTACAGAAAGGGACTTACTCCTTTTCAGGAATAGTCACTAATAGATGGAAAAAAGTGCTGATATTTGGAGTCAATTGTACCTTGATCGTCTTAGACATTTTAAAAGTCTTATATTCCCCTCCCCCATATGCCTCAGTAAATTAGAATTCATTCCAACCGCAGCATAGGTTCAAATTTATTAGTATTTGAAATACAAAATTGGGCCTTAGGAAATAGGCCAAATGCAGAAGCTGTACAGAATGTGAGATTTTGGGCCCATCTTCAACGTATATTTCAGCCAAGCTAAAACCAAGTGTGTTTAACTTGGCATGTACCTGGGTTTTAGTCTGTTTGTTTTTAAAGATTTTGACTGCATCATAAAAAAAAATCAGATCTAAAGTCAGCTTTTGAAGTCAGCTCTTTAGCCCGTTCTCTTTTTTCTGTGCTGAGTTATTGCTTGTTGTATATATTCCCTAGGGCTTTACCCTGTCCAGCATTAAATGTTTCTGATGACGGGGTTCCACTCTTCCCCTGAAGAGACAATTCCACAGTCTAATAGAGCTCGCCGTTAGTGTAATTTTACTGATGATCAGCCTTAATTTTTCCCTGCTTAATTTTATCCTGTTACTGGAGCGTAGTGATTGATTTATTCGGGGGAAATTCAGTAAACGGTTCCTGCTTCACAGGATGGACCTTACAATAAATAGCAAATTGTCATGACCTATCTGTGGGTGTCCTGAGATTACACAGGAACTCAATTTATCTCGACGTTCATTCCCTGGAAGCTATTTCTGTCAGTATCAACTCAGTGGAGGAATAAGCAATGACTCTAACTGCCAGCCTGCCCGCCTCCTGCCCCAGCAGCAGCCTTGGAGCAAGGAGATGTTCAGGAGCTCCCTGAGCACAGGGCCCAGAGGCAGGAGACCCTCAGGGATCCGCTGCTGGCAGTGACCTGAGCAAAGGCACTTAAGATCTGGCTACCCCCTGTCTCTTGCCTTGTTTCCCGTTAAGGGAGCTGTACTGCTGGAAGTGGAGTTACACCTGGGTTTTATGGGTATAAAGCAAGTGAAGAATCTGATCTTATCCGTTCTGGACTATCAGTCCCACAGTTTTCCTGTGCCTAGTACAGAGCTGATGCAACTCTCGCAGTTGTAGTGGAGCTGTTTATACAGGTTTACACATGCGGATGATCTGGTCTCTCTGTTCACATGTTGAGGGGAGATCTAGATACATGCTTGAACACATTTGAGGTGCCTCAGCTCAACAAATCGCCACTCATGAGCTGGGCTGCAGTACATGCCCGTGTTTGCCTGCTCGGTATGTAAGGTGTGAGGTTTAAGCTAATACTTTTAACTTCACTGTTGGGCCAGTTAAGAGGAAACATGGTTTGTTATTGTTTCTCAGCTGATAAGCAGTAACTTGTCCCTCTGTGGTAACTTAGGACTGTGTTTGATAATGTGGCAATACTTCACTTGTATTATCAGGATGGACTAAGGTTATTTACCCTTAAGATTATTATTTGTGGAGTTTTCAGAAGGTGAGAAGGGCTATGTTACTGGAAATGGTTGTTTTTTTTGGAAGCAGGGGCAAGAACCAAGAGGAATGATCATTTAATCTTTCATATGTGAAACTTCAAAGGTATCTGGTGATTGTTGGCACTGTAAACCTCCCTCTTCAAGTTTGTCTTTTGTTTCTTTCAGGTATAATTGATTTCCTTGTGAGCCAGCATCCTTTTGCAAAAGTACTGAGAGATCACTTAGTCTTCAAGATTGCACCCATGCTCAATCCAGATGGAGTATACCTAGGAAATTACAGGTATGGTGTGTAATGCTGAATCTGCGTTATCCTTACAGCTATCTTATGTCCCTTGTATTGTTTTGCCACTAAACCGTATGTAGATTGTTTTGATTCAATCCTTCTGAGTTGGAGGATCTTATGTGGCTGTAAACTTCCTGAAATGCCCATCGAGCAAGTGGGCTCAATGGCAAATTTGCTTGCTCCACGAGGTAGAGGGCAGCTTTCTGATATACCAGGACATCTGTTGTGCAGGCCTCCTTAGGTGTGGGAGCCAAAGTCAGCTTAAGTTAGACCTTAGCTGTGTTTTATAAATACATTCATTATGCTGCTCATCAGCCTCTATGTAAATGTGTCAGTCAATCACAGTTCCCTTCAACTACCCAGATCATCCATTAAAGTCATAGATTTCAGTCTATTATTGTACTATAATAGATAGTGATACATGGAATGGAATAATCATGCTACCCTATGCTAATTTTGCTTCATTTCAGGATTTGAATTACTACTTTACCTCCTCCTCTGTTGAGAACGTATTCAGATAATCTTTTGTTTTCCCTAAAATTGTTTGCTCTTAATGCATTTATTTACAAAATAGATGTGTTGCTGGAGGTGATAATGAAAAGCAGTTGATTAGCTGATGATTTGTTTGTGGGGGCAATTACATCTATCACATAGTTGTGTGGAGAAGCCCCTGAGAAATGTAATATACTGTATGTGATTTTGCTTACAGCGCAGGACTAAATAACACAATGCACTCTGTAGCCAGGCTACCCTGAGCTTTGATCTAATTAGGTGTTGCATTGCTAAGCAGAATAAGACCAGGCTATTGTGTGGATGGGGAGACAGTTGAAGAACAATCTAGAAGTTAAGAAAATGGTGCTGCTGGCTCTGTTCTTTATTTTGATTTATGCTTCTTAGCTCTCCTGTGCTATGCTGCTTGCTAAACTCAAATAGTAGGGAGTTGTCCGAGTTATTTCACAGTGCTTATATGTGTTTTGTATGTGAAACTTCTAGGACGCATGATCTCTCTCCAGCTACACTGAAGAGATAGAGCAGTATTGCAGTAGTGGCATCTGACAGCACTACAAATTTACCCTAATGGTTATGCCACCTTCCAGGAATAGAGCCCTAAAAATGGCTCTAGTATCTAATACTATATTGCTTTACTCTGTTCCAGGGACACTGCATTTAGGGAACTCCAGTTGCAATTAAGTAGCTTTCTTTTCCCTCCCTAAATTCACCTGCCCTGTAGATTTTCTCCCTGGATTATTGTTTATACTCTTTGAGGTGCATACAGCTTTATAGATGTGCATATGGGTCATAATTTGAAAAGTCTTTTGGGAACCTAGGTATTATGAAAGGACATATGAATTCCATTTGGAATTGCTGAGCTTAATGGAGTATTATTGTTTTAGCCTTTCGTGATATGCAGAATTTTCAACTCTCATGAACTAAAAGGACTTTTAATGAGGTAGTGGGAAAAGCATTTGATTTGCTTGCAATTCTTCACTTTATTTACAAAAGGCCTAATGTAACTAATAACTTAAAAATTAGGGTAATAAGCAAAATGCTACCTATCATTTTGAGAAGAATATTAAAAAGCCTGGTAATGTGCCAGCATTGTAGTTAACTAGTGCTGAGTGAATAATTTACAGCAAACACTTTATTTCCTGCTCATAGAAAATCAACAAGCACATCACAATTTATTTACTTGAATGTACTGGAAGAATTTAAAGAAAAATCTCCAAGGATCAATAGCTAGTACTTGAAATTTTAGCTCTGATACTTCCCTGTGATTGGCTAGATAAGTTTATCTCATCTCGTTCGGTTCTTTGTTCAGATTAGCACACAAATAGGACTTTCAGGAGAAGTCTTCCATGCATTGTGGTATTATAATATACAGGTCTATTGGATGGGGACAATCCTCCTGCTAGTGCAAACAGGGTCTGTGGTGCCATATGCAGCAAAAGCGGTTTTAGTCATTCGAACTTCTACTTCCTGTTATCTCTTTCTTTTTCAAAGTAGCAGCTAGTGACTATTTCTTTGGTTCATTGAAGGTTCACATTCAGAACTATGCAAGCTAAGATAATGAAATGGATAATTAAACCTTATGCTTCAGTTTGTAAATTGATCTCCTGCTAGGGAGAGAGAGACTTCTTTTACTCCTCCGGTACACAGCTTTGTACAATTGGCAAAGTATTCTACGGGATACACTTCGCTGTCCTTGGAAATCTCAGGCATAGTGGTCACCATTAAAAGCCTGAGTATGTCAGCAGTTTCCATAGAATGGATGAGATATACTAGGTCTGTGCTTAAAACGGGAACTAAGCACTCATTTATACAGGACAATATGGTAACAGTTGGCTGATGGGATTTTCTTCATCATTATTTTTGGGGATTCGGGACTCTCAGGGAGGGTGCAGAGCTCGTGCTGTGCTCGTCGAAATCCTCGTTCCTTTGTTCTCTGTGCTTATGCACTGAGGTTTAGGAGTTTAAGCCAAAACTGCAACAATACTGCCAAGAATTGTCTGTTATCTACAAACTGTTGCTCATTGTCAAGAGAACAGTGAATGGATTGTGACTCTACAGGGACTTTCTTGTGGTAAAATGTTCATAGCCAGCAACAAGTGAGTTTAATATCACAGCGATAAAGCAATGGGTGCTTGCGGCACAGAAACAGCTGTGGGGAGGGTTGTTTATACGTTGCGTACATTCAGCTGCTCTGAGAGAAATGGTCATGGAAACGAATGTCAATGCCTGGTGTATCAGGTTGCATGGAAACAGGGTGCTAAACTTAACTGATGTATTCAAGTCTATGCAAGAGTTTGAGAGGAGTATTTGTGGACCCATACAGCTGGGGATAAAAACAGTGTGTCTTATGTAACTAAAGGGGTATTTAAGCATTTGCTCTAACGTAGAGTGTTTGAGAGGTCTATGTGCACTTTTAAAAGGTATTTTATTGAACTAAATTGATAAAAGTCATGATTTGCTTGTAATTTTAGGGCATAAGTCTTTTAATAGAAAGTGAACTAACACGCTTCAGTGTCTTACTAGCTATGGCTTATGTTCATAAACTGATCGAGTCAGTGAAATTACCTTTACTGGACTTTATTTGCAGTGAGATTTCTGACTGACTAATGAGAAATCAGAGCATTTAATTTTTGCTTTACCCCTTTTCCTGAAAATAGATGAGAAATGAAAATTTGGAGGCAAAATGCACTACAGTAGATCAGAGCAGGCTGGATACCAGTGTCTGAGGGGTTAGATGCAGAGAAGCGGAGCCTTCAGAGTGCAGAGTTCACCTGCTTTTAATACAAGCCAGATTTCCGAATGGCTAATCAGGGTGGCTCCTGCCTGCTGCACTAGCTGTTTGCCAGTTTGCTAGTGTCGGACCCTTCTGTGAATGTGACTCCTGCATCACGCTCTCTCTTCCTTCAGTTAAAAAAAAAGTCCGCAGTCCTCTTCTTGCCACACGACTGTATTCAGCTCTTTCTAGCATACAGGATAATGACGGAGACTTGCTGTTTATTGTGTTCAGGGATGTAGGATCTCTCCCAGGACAGGAATACAGGCTTGGCTGCTTTCTCCAGTTCTTTAAAGCCTGATATCACTATACGTTTAACTCGCTTTACAGTTGCAGTGTGTAGAAAATGTTACTCCACATGGGCTGGTGAATTAAATTGCACAGAATTATGCCATCAGTTGCCTTAGCTGAAATGGTGGCTCTGTAGCCTGATCTGCCTTCTGTTCTGGCTGGTAACCCCTTCTCAGATGTCACCAGGATTGAAAGACCCCTTTTTTCCTGGGTATGGGGCAAGATTTGATTTTTTTTTTTCCCCTTCATGACAGAACGTAGCAGGAGTTGAACGTATTTGTGAATTCTTCCATAACGCTAATCTCACCTTCTCTGATGGATTAAACTGGGAAAGAGCTTTAGGAAATGAAGGACGGATGACAGATTTCTTGATCTCTCTGTCTGCCTGTCTGTCTCTCTGTCTGCCTGTCTCTCATAGCATTATCATCTTCTGAATCTGTTACCATGCCTGGGGAGGTAGGATTAGACCAAGGAGGGGGGAAAAAAAAAAGTATTCTTGATTTAAAAGTCGTGCATCCCCAGGCTTGGCCTGAACTTTTCTTTATTGAGAGCCTGTTCTTAAGCTGGCATTCTGCAAGCGAAACGCTGAAATGTGTCCCTGCAGGCGAGATGACTGTACCAAACCATCTTAGATTAGTTCCAATTTGTCAGCCTCACCGTCCAGAGAAGAAACTGCATACTGGCACCAAAAATAATGTGCTTCCTGGTCTGGGCAGCTCCTCAGTGAGGTATCCCAGAAATACTAGGACAAGACAGTCGAAAATATCCTCACCGTTTTCTAAAGGCTATGTGGCATGACCCGCTAAGGCTCCTTGTTCCTTGGCATTTCTGTGTTGCCTTCGGTTGGTTAGCTGTGGCAGTGTCTGGTGAAAAATGGGAACAGGGAAGGCTTGAAAAACATAGAAAACCATTAATTTTAGTGTTTTATGAAGGAAAACCTTCATTATTGTTGTTTATTAATGGTATTATTTAAAATCTTTTTTTCCTCAGATCCTTTCCCGGAAGGATCTGAAATACAAACAGAAAACTTGGCTTCAGATCAAATGAAATGTTGCAGGTTGTTCCTGAGTAAGTTTCTGTGGATTTTTTTGTGTGACTCTAGGAACAGTCAAAGTGCAGTGTCCGTGTTCACATGTAATGTACAAAGGATCTGTTGACAGGAAAAGTGTAGGTGGCTTTATCCAAAATTTTGGCTAGAAATCAGAACTATATGTTGCAGCATTAGGGAGCGCTGATTTTGGGTTTGTTCGTTGTTAATACTGGATACATATACACATATGTATATTCGCAGTGACTAGATTTGTGGTTCTACTGTCAGTTGTGGTGTTGTGAGGCATGGCTGCTCACAGGCATAATATCATTTCCATGATATCTCTCTTGATTATTTTCCACCTATTTTTGTGGTAGGCAAGTTTTTTTTCTT